TGGTTGGGAGTGACACGGGGGGGGGGTGTTGGAGGGGGTGATGGGATGTATCGGGGCACTGAGAGTGACTCCATGGTGTGTGTGGGGATGACTGTGATCCCAAGGTGGGGGCGAGCGGTTGGGGTTAGCTGTGAGTGAGTCTATGGTCTGGGTGGAAGGTGTGTTGGTGGAGGGGTGACCGTGGGTGACTCCAGGATGTGGGGGGGAGGTTCTCTCTGGGGTGGCTGAGAATGAGTCCAGAGTGTGTGTGTGAGGGGGAAGGGTGTCTCAGGAGAGTGGGGGTGGCTGGGAGTGACACCACAGTGTGTGTAGGGGGGGTGATGGGATGTATCCGGGTGCTGAGAGTGACTCCAAGGTGTGGGAGGGAGGGGTCTCGGGGGTGCAGGGTGCTGAGAGTGACTCCATGGGATGTGGGGGAGGTGTCTCAGAGGTGAGGATGGCTGTGACTCCAAGGTTTGGGGGGGTGTTGGGGTTAGCTGTGAGTGACTCTGTGGTCTGTGGTGGGGGGTGAAGGGATGTATCAGGGGTGGCTGGGGACTCCATGGTGTGGGAAGGAGAAGGGAGTGTCTCGGGTGGGGATGGCTGTGACTCCAAAGTGTGTGTCGGGGGTGTGGCTGGGAGTGACACCACGGTGTGTGTGGCGGGGGGAGGGGGTGATGGGATGTATCGGGGGTGCTGAGAGTGACTCCATGGTGTGTGTGGGGGGAAATGGCTGTGACTCAAAGGTGGGGGGGGGGTGTTGGGGTTAGCTGTGAGTGACTTTATGGTCTGTGGTCATGGGAGGTAATGGGATGTACTGGGGGTGCTAAGAGTGAGTGACTTGTGTGTAGGGGAGGGATCTCTGGGGTGGGGGTGGCTGGGAGTGACACCATGGTATGTGTGTGGGGGGGTGATGGGATGTATCGGGGTAGCCGTGGGTGACTCCCGGGGTGGGCGGGGGGGGGAGGTTGTCTCAGGGTTGGCTGAGAATGAGTCCAGAGTGTGTGTGTGTGAGGGGATGTCTCAGGAGTGGGGGTGGCTGGGAGTGATACCACAGTTTGTGTATGGGGGAGGGGGATGATGGGATGTATCGGGGGAGCTGAGAGTGACTCCAGGGTGTGGGGGGAAAAGTCTCAGAGGTGGGGGTGGCTGGGAG